CTCGTGTCGTGTCACGTGTCCGTGTCCATGCTTCTTAGGTTATCACTTATGCTAGAATTAGGAGAGAATGTCTCTTTATTAGCCGTCGTCGCCTAGCCACCACACTTTGTTCTTCACCAATCGTTGCAGCTCTCTCTCCATTCTTTTAACCCCTCTCCAACACCCAACATAAAAAACATAAAAAAAAGAAAAAGAAATAACAAGTGTTAATACTATACCTATAATATGTTATAAGTTAATACTATATTAATCTGTATAGATCTACAGCTGCTAATAGTAGATAGTATATTTAATAGATTATATTAAATATCTGTATAGATAGTTGTTGCTAGCCTAGCACAGATAGACGCTTTCTTTTCCTTTTGCTTTCAGCTATCTTCGGGTGGCCTTTCATTTGTATATTTCCTTTGTTCATCATTTTGTCTTGTAAAACATCTCCTATATAATGGAGGTTCCATTTGGTTGCAATATACATCAAAAACATAGAGCTAATATTTGCTCTCTCAATCTCTCTCAATTTCTTATATGGTATCAGAGCACAGGTTTTCTGCCTAGCCTCTTCTTCCAACATATTTTTTCTGCAGATTGCATTTCATCTGTATCCCTTTTTCGTCCATCTCTGAAATACAGTTTTCACCACACCAGAGCCTTCGTCTCCTCCGGACGATTCCAACGCCACCAATTTCAGCCCAATACGACGTTACACGCGCTCTCACGCGCCATTTCTGTGAACGGCGCGTCGCCTGCCTCCGCCTTCCGCCTCACACGCGCTCCACGCGTCCTCCACACTGTCCCGTGCTAACGTGCACCGCGCACTACCTTGCTAACGTGCGCCGCGTGTTTCTGACGTCAGCACACGTCATCCATCTCTGCTACCGTGCACTGTCTGGCCTGTTTTGCTAACGTGCGCCGTGCCCTTTCTTGCTAACGTGCGCCGCGCCCTTTGCCTCTCATTTCTGTGCCTCTGTGGTCATATTTTGGGTCGTTTCACTCCTTTTCCCACTAATTTCGGCCTTCTGAATTCACTGGTAACCTCGGTTTTTTCAGATTCTACCTCCATTGTGCTATTTTTCCCTCATGGATCGCCCGAATTCCTCTAATCACCCTATTTCCGTTATTCTTGACGGGACTAATTATGTCCTTTGGGCACAAGCCATGTCTGGCTTCCTCAAAGGCAAGAAACTTTGGCGTATTATTACTGGGGATGTGTGCAAACCAGTCCCAGCAACCACGGAATCCGCTGCCACGGACTCCGCTGCCACGGACTCCGCTGCCAAATATATCGACCGACTAGAAGATTGGGATAGTAAAAACTATCAGATCATCACCTGGCTTCGCAATACTTCTATTACATCCATCAGCCTTCAGTTTGGTAGGTTCCAACTTGAGTCTGCTTCCTCTCCAGCCAAGGCCATCTGGGATTTTTTGCAAGAACGCTATCAGACTACCGATCTTGCTCACCAATATCAGCTTCTGAGTCATCTTCACCGTATGCGCCAAGAAAACACTCAGACCATTAATGATTTCCTCTCCCAAATGTATTATGTTTGGGATCAACTCGCTCTTTCTAAGCCTCCATGGCCTCATACTGAGGATGCTGCCTTGTTTACTACCTACCGTGACCAACAGCGCTTGGTTCAGTTTCTCATGGCTCTCACTAACCCACCTCCTATCGGGAGGCTCGCTCTAATCCTCTTTGGCAGCAAGCTATGACTGATGAATTACAGGCTTTGGACAAAACTCACACTTGGGACATTGTTGATCTTCCTCCTGGCAAGACTGCCATTGGCTGTAAATGGGTATACAAAATCAAAACCTGTTCTGATGGATCTATTGAGCGCTATAAAGCTCGCCTTGTTGCTAAAGGCTTCAATCAAGAATATGGTATTGACTATGAGGAGACCTTTGCTCCTGTTGCTCGTCTCACCTCTGTTCGCAGCCTCATTGCAGTTGCTACTACCCGACACTGGGATCTTTATCAAATGGATGTGAAAAATGCCTTTCTTAATGGTGTTCTTCTTGAGGAGGTCTACATGCAACCTCCCCTTGGGTCTACTTATCCACCTCATAAAGTCTGCAAACTTCAACGTGCTTTATATGGTCTCAAACAAGCTCCCCGCGCTTGGTTTGCCAAGTTCAGCTCTACTATTCATGACTGTGGTTTCACCTCCAGCTCTTATGATACTGCACTTTTTATCCGCAAAACTGCTCAAGGGACCACTTTGCTTCTTCTTTATGTGGATGATATGATTATCACCGGTGATGATGTCAATGGTATTCTTCATCTTAAACAATTTCTTAGCCATCATTTCGAGATGAAAGACCTTGGTCCTCTCAGCTATTTCTTGGGTCTTGAAATCTTCCATGATTCCACGGGTTCTTTTCTCTCTCAGGCTAAGTACACATCTGATCTTCTCACCCGTGCTGGTCTTACCGATTGCAAGACTGCCTCAACTCCCCTGGAGCCTCAGAGTCGTCTTACACCTCTTGATGGCACTCTTCTCTCTGATGCTACTCTATATCGTTAGCTGGTTGGCAGTCTTGTCTATCTCACTGTTACTCGTCCTGATATTGCCTATGCCGTCCATATTGTCAGCCAGTTTATGTCGGCTCCTCGTACCACACATTATGCTGCATTAATTCGTATCATTCTTTATCTCAAAGGCACCATGTTTCATGGTCTTCATTATTCCGCCCGCTCCTCTCTCCAGCTTCGTGCTTTCTCTGATGCTGATTGGGCTGGCGATCCTGCTGACCGCCGCTCTACTACTGGGTTTTGCTTTTTTCTGGGTGATTCTCTTATTTCTTGGCGCAGTAAGAAACAATCTCTTACTGCTCGTTCTAGTACCGAAGCCGAATACCGTGCCCTTGCTGATACTACTCAGGAGCTTCTCTGGCTTCGTTGGCTTCTTGCTGACATGGGTGTTACTCCCTCTGGCGCTACTGCCCTCTTTTGTGACAATCACAGTGCTCTTCAAATTGCTCACAATGATATTTTTCATGATCGCACCAAGCACATTGAGATTGACTGCCATTTTATTCGGCAACACGTTACTCATGGTACTGTCCATCTCCATCCGATCTCTTCTGTTGATCAACCTGCTGATATCTTCACCAAAGCTCATTCTCCTAGCCGCTTCGTTGACCTTGTCTCCAAACTCAAGTTGGTTGATGTTTGTCCTCCTTGAGTTTGAGGGGGGATGTTAATACTATGCCTATAATATGTTATAAGTTAATACTATATTAATCTGTATAGATCTACAACTGCTAATAGTAGATAGTATATTTAATAGATTATATTAAATATCTGTATAGATAGTTGTTGCTAGCCTAGCACAGATAGACGCCTTCTTTTCCTTTTGCTTTCAGCTATCTTTCGGTGGCTTTTCATTTGTATATTTCCTTTGTTCATCATTTTGTCTTGTAAAACATCTCCTATATAATGGAGGTTCCATTTGGTTGCAATATACATCAAAAACATAGAGCTAATATTTGCTCTCTCAATCTCTCTCAATTTCTTATAACAAGAAGTAAAATATTTATAATTGAAACGTATATATAAAAACTATAAATAGAAGGTATAAAAGATTTTAATGTTTAGAGATATTTCGGTGTGATTTTATATCATTTTGATGTAATTTTGTATAATTAAAAAAAAATAAAGTTGAAATTTAATTCAACTTTGACTCGTTGAACAAACCAAGGGTATTTCAGCCTTTAATTTCCAAACACCTTAAGATTGTTTAGACTAAGGCCGAATGTGACCATTTTTGCCAATTTTGATTCGCTTGGCAGGTCTATTCTATCAAACCTTGATTGATTAAACAAAGTTCAAATGAATAAAAAAATAATAATAAGTAAAAAAAATAAAAATAAAATTATCTTCCACATCAATACCATCTCAACTCCTTCCATTCCCTAGCTCGCCATCATGATAAATCAAAAAAAAAGAAAAAAAAAAGAAAAAAAAAAAAGAGAATAGGGGGGCGTAAAAATAAAAATGCAAAATTAGGGATGAAGATATGTTTTGGCATTACTGAGGATGTAAAAGGAATCTTTTCAAATTTCAGTTTTCTTTTAATAATTAATGAAATAAAACAATAGTGTAAATATAAAGACCCATAAAAGAACTCAGAATTTGAATTAGGAAATACTAATTCCTAGATAGATACCAAATAATAAAAGGAAACAAATATTTACCTAAATAGGCAAAATTAATGCAAAATTTGAATACTAAAATGTTTGAAAAACCATTTCTAAATAGACTAGAATTAAGGGGTTGTTTGAGATGTTCTAAATAAGTGTACTTTTTGACTTTTGATGAAATATGAGTTGAGTTTGAAATGATGTGGTAGAGAGGTGATGTGACTTATATAAGATGATGTGATTTAAATAGGATAGTGACTTTTTGACTTTTTTTGAACATCCCAAACTTAGCCTAAAAATTGACATTTTCTAAAGTTATAACCAAAACAAAACTTTTTAAAAAGGAAAAATTGCTAATTCAAAGAATCAAAAACCCCACAGGAGCCTCACTAATGTCAACTAGACGATGTGTCATATCAAATAATAAACAAAAACTGATTTGAAGAAAAAAGAGGATATATCTAACGCTGCTCAAATTATTTTGACAAAAATATTAATTTTTATGTTGTGTTTGGTTGAGGGATTTGAGAAGGGATTTAAAAAAAGAAATGAAAAAAGTAAGTGAAATGTGAAAAAAATATACCTACATTTCACACAGTTTCACACACCTTCTCCCTTTCTCTTTCCAAATCCCTCCCAAATCCCTCAACCAAAAACACAGCATTAGTGTCTTCAATATCACAAAATAATTTGAAACCAAATATTGCCAAAACGTCCATCACTACCAACACTGAAATAAAAAAATTGGAAAGAATTTTGAAAACATCTGTGAATGGGCGTTTAGAAACCTAATTGTAAAATCTTGCAACTCCTAAAAAAACAAAAAAGACTCGTGAGAGAAAGGAAACAGAGACTTCCTCAAACGTCCAAAGGCATCACAGTCATACACTATTAAGACTACATGTTCATTACATACCAAAGCCAAAAGAGGTTGCAGTTTAACTGGAAGATAAAGACACATACATACTAACTCCCTAGCTAACGTGAGAGAAAGGAAACAGAGATTTCCTCAAACGTCCAAACGCATACGTAGTCACAATCATACACTATTAAGACTCTGTTCATTACATACCAAAGCCAAAAGAGGTTGCAGTTTAACTGGATGATAAAGACACATACATACTAAGACTCCCTACCTAACATAGCAGCATAACTACTAACTACACACACCTCATCATCCTCATTGCATCAGAATCAATACTTGTTTTTATACCAAAATACACCTTTGGTGGTGGTATCGTCATCTGATTCCACGTAGAGACACTCTCTTGCCTCCCTCCACATCGCCTTGTAAAATGCAGTACCATCAAACTGGTAATACTCACCGAGAATAGGCTTAATCGCCTTTGTGGCCTCCATTGCATGGTAATGTGGCATTGTAGAGAAGAGGTGGTGAGCAACATGAGTATCTGTGATATTATGGAACACCTTGTTCAGCACTCCATAATCCCTATCCATGGTTGACAGAGCTCCCCTCAGCCAGTCCCATTCCGATGAGTCATAATGAGGCAGAGCAGGATGAGTGTGCTGCAGGAATGTGATCAAGACAAGGAACCCGTTCACAATCAGTAACGGAACCCCATAAACACAAACAAGCCAAGCCAGCCCCTTTGCGAAAGCAAGGCGACAGAGAACATAAACTATAGTGATGATACCAACATCAGAGATGTAAATCTGGAGCCTTTCCCGGTTGTTGTAGATCGGGCCATATGGGTCGTAGTGACATGCAAAACGATCATAAGGTCTCCCTGATACATTGAAGGCCAAGTACAAGGGCCAGCCAAGAGTGAGTGTGATCACAAGCGTGACAACACGACCCACTGGGTTGTTCAAGTATTTGGAATACCATGCGAGTTTGCATTTGGGTTTCGGGACAAAAACTTCATCATGCTCAAGGGAACTGGTGTTGGAGTGGTGACGGCGGTGACTGTATTTCCATGAGAAGTAGGGAACTAAAAGGGTGGAGTGAAGGATGAGACCAACCGTGTCATCGACCCATTGGTAATCACTGAATGCATGGTGACCACATTCATGAGCAATGACCCACACACCAGTGAGGACACAACCTTGAAGTGCCCAGTAGATGGGCCACACAAGATAACGGAAGTGCTGTGGAAGGAGGTGGATGTAAGAGGTGGTGACGTAGTAGAAAAGAAAGACGAGAGAGAAGTCATAAACAATGTAGGAGAATGAGCGGAGGAGAGAACGTTCAAAGCAGTGGGGTGGGATGGCTTTCTTGATTTCACCGAGAGTGAATGGTGGCTTTGAGTGAGGGGCCCTGTGGGGGGTAATCTGCTGTTCATGTTTGGTTGCTGGGACAGGCATTCGTCCACCAGCACTCAGCCAGTTGTGATCTGAAAAAGGTGAGAGATCATTTTCAAAGTGAAACAGTATGTTTATATATAGACCTACAACATGATAATAAATGCAGAATCTCACAATGCTCTGCCGAAAGATGACATTGCATTTTATAGAGAAAATGCATAATTAGTTGATAAAATTTCCAGTAACACAGAAGAAGAATAACTTAAGCGATGATTGAATATACTTTGCTCGTTATGACTTGATTGAAATATAAATGAAAAGGAACAGGAAATGCGACAGCTATTGTGGATTATGATTTTGCTGTAGTAAAAAGATGTTAGTCAAGAAACTCATTGCCGAAGAAAAATTAATTAGTCAATTTGCCTTTTCATACTAGAAAGGGCAATCATAATTTATCCATTTTCACATAGCACATTGGCAAGCCAACAGGGCTGATGGATTCTAGAAGAAATCTACTTGTAATTGAAAGAAAGGGCAATCAAAATAAGAATTTCCGAATTAACTGAAAGAAGAAACAAATTTAAAAGAAAAATAATTAAATAAGATATTCCAAATGATAAGCCTAAGGATGTACAAGCAGTAATCTCCAAATAACAATTATGTGTTTTGCTTTTTGTACTAAACCTCTGTTCGTCCAAAAATGCAAAATAAGACCCAATTAGACACAAAATCCACAACAACTTAAAGCATCTACATCCAATTAGACATCGAATTAATGATATCTGCATCTACATAAGTTTTCTGCAGTGTTAGAAATACCACAACTTTGAACTCATGTAAACTAACAAGTGCTTGGCCATATAAGAGATTCAGAACACATTTCATTAACACATCTAGATGCTGCTGACATAACTACATCTGCCGGTTTTTTATGCAAGAAGAGCCATGGGCTCACTCAATATGGAGGTGTGATGCTTCACACAAAAACAGATGAATATAGGTTATGAGGTTTAAAAATATCAGGGGACTGTCAATATTGCCAGGAGATATGGTGAGGCCAAAACACCATCAATTGCAAATAACTCAATATAATCCACTCGCAGATTCATGAAGGGAATCCTACATATGATAAGTCTTGACCCAATACATATTTGTCATGTAGGGCATATCTTACTTACAGTTAACAGCCATCAATCAAAAGTTTTTCTTGCTTCAAATTACACAAGTTCATGGCAGCTGAGCAAATGCCAAGACTTAATAGGTTGTGAATCAAAAGTCATTCTCTCTACTTTTTTGTTCTACCATTCTTATTTGGACAAAGCACATTCTACAGAGGGCTCAATTTCTTCCAAATTTATTACAATTTTGGGTTCAACCTTCTCCCAAATTTAGGAAGAAAAAGGAAAAGGAAAGAGTCACCAGTTCAATTTTATATATATTTTTATTTATATTTTTATTTTCATTTTTTGGTAAATCTGTAGGGGAAAGAAAGCTGGGAGAAAGCTGGGATTCCTTATACAATTTTAAAGAAAGAAAAAGAATCATTAGACCCCCAACGGGATGTGAGATGGACAAGGTAGATTGCAACAAACTACCTAAATTCAAAATTCATTTATTAATCCCATCAATACAGAAAAAGAAAACATCATTTCCATTAAATTAAGGTTCAAAATAGGGTACCTTTTCCATGAAAAACTGAAAAGAAAATGCAGGATTCTACTTGTTAGTTTTATGTATAAAGAAAAAGAGAGAATTGTGTATATTGAATATGAGAGAAGAGAGAAGAGAGAAGAGAGAGCAAATGAATAACTCTATATTTCTGTGTATTTCTGTGTATTTTTACAAAGAGATGTACACTCTCTTTATAGAGAGGAGAAGACAACATAGGATGTCAATTGAGGCACCGAAAGCATAAAGGAAGGGGACACTAATTATTAAAGCTAAACACTAACATATAATAATATACTAACACTACTATAGGAGTAATTGAGCAAATAAGAATTGTCTAGAAAAGAAGTTAACGTTGTGATTGTAGTACACGAAAGATTAAAAAAAAAAAAAATAGACATTTTGGTTTTGAATAGATATGACAAGGTCTCTCAGGGCAGTGTGCTATTTAAGGCGAGAGGCACATCAAGTTGCCAAAGTCTCTCGGGGCATAGGCGAGTGGCAAGGCATATGTATAGATATTGCATAGTTTTTTTTATAGATATGGCAAATTTTGTGTGTGTGTGTTATCTACCAAGTATTAACCAATTAAACATTGTATTTTTACATAAGATTATTTGTACCACATCAACAATTTCAAATGAAGTAAATTCAAATTAAATAATTAAAAGAATTTAAGAAATTATACAATAAAGAAATTAAGGAAAGTTTTATCAACCAAGTGTTAACCAATTAAACATTGTATTTTTACATAAGATTATTTGTACCACATCAACAATTTCAAATGAAGTCAATTCAAATTAAATAAGTAAAAGAATTAAAGCAATTATACAATAAAGAAATTAAGGAATTAATTGAGTAATTAAATATTTACACAAATTAAGTATATAAAATAACCAATTAAGCAAACTAAGTTATTTGACAATAAATACTTCAATTGAAAATTGTCGCTCTCTAGAGGACAAAAGTAAAAAAGCAAAACAACAAATGGCATGTAAGCCAAAATATAAGCATGTTTGGTAACATTTATATTTAAAATAATTTTTGTTTACATTTAAAATAATAAAAAAATAAAAAAATTTAGATTCCCTTTTCCGGAGTTGCAACTATCTATTGCAAAAAATTCTAAACTTACAAGTAAATACTCAATACCTAATTTTTTATTTTTTATTTTTTTCGTTTATATTTAGGAAAATTTTGAAAACTTTAAATAAAAACTCATTTGGTATCTATTTTCGTTTTCAAAAACTTGTGATCAGTATATAAAATCTATCAAATTTTTTGTAACAAAAAAGTTTGTTTATTTGTTTAGGAAAAAAAAAAAAAAAGTTTCCATTCCTTGTTGCACCACATCCAACCATCTCCACCTCAGGGTAACCATCATCTGTGACCTCCTCCGACAACCACCTATAGCCACCACCTCCTGTGACTGTTTCATAGGCATTCTTACTCTTGGTAATTTGATTCATAGGCACCTTTTTTGGTCAATTGGTGTTGCATGTATTAACAAAATGATGTCTTGGTTAATTTCATTGGGGAATGGCTAGGATTTTGCTTCCATGTGCGTCATGTAGTTGATTTTGGGTGAGACATATCATAGATTTTTTGAAAAGGTTAAGGAGCCCCTTCTTAAACTTAAAAGAGTAAAATTATTGTACAATTTGTAGAGTTGGTGTCAGGTGTTTAGCCCTCATTGGACCTATTTTTCGATTTCATTTTCTTGTGAGTAAAGGATGATTTATAAGTTGCCTTGGTGTAGTTTTTTCATATGAGGTAATTACACTATACCCATGTGGTTTGTCCCAAAAGGTTCAAAAGTGAATACATAACTCCCATGTGGTTTGGATTGAAGTGCAAAATGGATGGCAAACCATAAGTTACAATGACACTCTGGGGTTTATGTGCTGGGTTGAATAGGCAAGAGTTTGTCTCCCAAAAGTTGGGGAGCTTCTATTTACACTACAAATACAACTCTTTGTGCCGACTTTCTTATTTCATTAGCTGAAAAAATATATACATAATCTTCATCCTTAATTTCACGCCTCTTTACATTCACCCTCCTTCTCTTTCCTTCCCTCTCTCTTGTCCAGTTCTTCCACCACTACAAATGAGGATGACAACGAGTTGAGGAAGGATCTAGGAGATGTTTGGGGTGGTGGTGGAGTGGAACATGATTTTTTTTGGGATTTTATTTTTTTTCCGTGTTCAAGTTTTGTTTGGTGAACCAGAGTTGAATGGAGTTTCATCTCTATTTTTTCCAAATAGCACAAAATATATCAAAATGATAGAAAATCACACCAAAACATATCTTAAACACCAAAATCTTGTATTAAATTTGCTTACAATTATCAAATCTATGTTTTAACTATAATTTTTCTATATATATATATATATATATTTTCTTTCTAGTTGTTTGTTGTCAATTTTTTTATAATGTTCTTATGGTGGAGGTGTTGAGAGTTGCGGAAAGGTGGAGAGAGTGATAGAAAGGGGAGAGGGTGGCAGTGGATGTTGGAGAGGAGAAGGGATGGTGGCTGAGTGGTGGGTTGGTGGAGAAGAATAGTAGTGGTGGTTTAAAGAGGTAAGAAAGAGGATGAGGTGCAAAGATAAATTCTAATAACATTTTTTAAATGTTTTTAATCCGTAAAGGTAATTTTACAAAGATGTAATATTGTAATAAATTTTTTTTAAAATGAGAGGTGTGATGAGTTAAATTCATGGTGTAAACAGAAGCACCCCAAAAGTAGGCCCAAAATTCATGTGTAAAATCACTTTTTGTATTTTTTAATTTACACACGAGCAATGATTGAGACTCCCACCCCCACAAGACCCTCAAAAGACCCCCATAAATCTAGACCACTTGTGACGTGGACCCCACACATATATGAGTGGGACCCACACATACATTAAGGGCCATGATTACTCTGGGGTGTGGGGTCATCCCAAAAGGAGTCCTAAACATTTTCCTTTACACACATCTAGTGTTTGAGTGAGAAAGTGTAAATCTAGAGGTATTGGCACAGGTGGGTCTAGTTTTGATAGAGAAAGTGAGAGAATGAGAGAGAAATTGTGATTCATACAAAAGAAATTTTGAGAGAAGAAAAAGGGGGCAATTAAGACTTTTCCCCAAAGCTATTAAAATAATTCTGGACTTTGCAGTTAGGAAAATTCTATTTGTATACCATACAAAACTCTCACTACACACGTGTTCTGATATAAACTTTTGAGCAAATGTTAAATGTTCGGATTTAAAGTTATGGACAAAAATAAATTGTTTAAATATACATTTCATTCAATTATTTAAATAAATCCGAACAGTACTTGGGGTGTGTACTGAGTGTTTATATGGTGTGCAAATAGAATTACCTCCTGCAGTTTTGTCAAAACCATATGGTGGTTATGTTTTTAGGCCAAATCAGGGGATAGAATGTAATTCCCTTATTTGATCTTGCACAGCATCCACCTTTATTGCCCATTCAAATATTCTTATGTTTACTTATAATAAAAAAAAATTAAAAATTAAAAAAAATCTTAATTCTAATTCCGATTATGACGATAATCGCACGGTGGTGACTATAATGCTGGGAAGCATTTTTTATTTTATTTTTTTAAAAATAAATTTGATGGTGTTTCTTTCTTCTTCTTTTTTTCTTTTTTTTGAAAAGTGATGTTTCTTTTTTTGGAAAGTGATGTTTCTTTTCTTCATCAACATAGTTTGCATAAAGCAACATTTTAGTGGGAAGAGCATTTCAGGTATTAAAAAAAAAAAAAAATGAAGGAAAAATACCCGAAAAAGGTAATTCACACTAATTTGTGGAAAACAAAATTCCACATAACCCAGACAAAAAATTCAATGGAAAAAAAGAAAAAGAAAAAGAAAAAGAAAACCGCGCGAGGAAGCAAAAGCAAAAACAAAAGCAAAAACTGTTCCAGTAAACCAAAAACAACCGGTCCACCAAAACAATCATTTGAAGGACCCGCATGCGATGCATGGAAATTTCACAAACGATTTATAGAGAGAGATCCTTATCTATGCCGATATCTAAGACAAGAGACATATACACAAATATGCATTGAAAATTGAAATCAATGGCATTGTAACAGAAATATTAAAGCTGTGTGTTCGGTTAGGGATTTGAAAAGGAATTTAAAAAGGGAAAACGATGCGTAAAATCACGTAAAATATAATATAAGTATATTTTATTTTCTTTTTGTTTCTAAATCTCTTAATCAAATTCCCCAATAAACACAGTCTAAAATATCACGAGCATTTTTGAGAAAAACATGACATTAGTTCACAGATCCATCCATAGAATCACAACGAAGATTAATTTCAATGGCTGAAACAAATCAACAAAAATAACATTATATATATATATATATGAAAATCCTGATAATCAAAGAAGGGCAGTATATGGGGAAGAAAAGTACCAGGAATGAAGATTGAAGCGAGCCTCTTTCTCTCTCTCTCCTAGCCTGAAAGCACTTGAGAGGAGAGTTTTTTCTTCTCTCTTCTCTGTTATGTGTATGTGTTTCTGAGCTTCTGGTTGGCATTCTTGACAAGAAGCCCTGTCCTGTATTTAAGAGCGGTCGGTCTCTGTCTCTGTCTCTGTCTCTCTCTGGGCTCTAAACACCTCTCGGTCTTAGGTGGGGTCACCACAGGTCTCCGCACCATGCACGCTTAAACGTAACCATCACCATCGTCCGACACGCGGAGCCTTAGGATTAAATGAAATTAAGCAGTCAAGTTGTTTGACAGTTCCGTTCAATTTCTAGAGCACATGAATTTGGTGTCAGTGTTTTGCACGGGATCATGATTGAATTGAAATGACGATAATAGGCTTTTTGCGTTTTACTTTGCATGAGATGCGAATGTAGCGATGTTTTGAAAAAATAGTAAAAAGTTAATTTTTTTTTGATTTTTTCAGTGGCTTATTAAGTAAAAAATTAGATTGTTTTGGATAAAAAAATTGACTTTCTTAGCTAAAAAAGTTTAGAAGTCAAAAAATCAAATAAATACACAGAAAAGAGAGGATTTTAATAATAAATTCTATTGGCGTTGGCTTCTGTCTAGTCCTTAATCGGACTAGATTATGCTGTTGGGTCCGTGGGGGCCTACCATGGGTCTCATTTTGATAATCTGAACCGTTTAATATGTAGAACTCGTCGAGTACTATAAGCTTGTAAAAAATCACGTTAATCGGATATCGGTAACTATGTGATCAAATCAGATTTTTGTCAACTGTTAATTTATTCACTGTCCATTTTTTTTTTATAAAAAACTGATTTGATCACATAGCTACTGATATCCGATTAACGTGATTTTTTATAGGTTTATAATACTCAACGAGTTCTACACATTAACGGTTCAAATTATCAAAACGGGACCCATAGTGGGCCTCCACGGGCCCAATAGCACGGTCCAGTCTGATTAAGGACTGGACAAAAGCTAAGCCCAATTCTATTTTACTCTTGGCTGGGGCTTGCCTCCATTTGGATTGAAGGGTGTAGTCGGGCTCATTGGGCTCACTTTTGGATCATTTTTCGATAATTTGAACTGTTCACATTTTAAAATTTATTGAGTACATTATCTCTATAAACAATTACGTCGATCGAATAATGGATAATATGACCTTATTTGGTTTGGCTTTAGGAAAAAGATTTTGGAGAAAATTTTTAAAAATTTTGTTTGGTTTGTAATTTTTCTCAAAAAGTTTTCAAAATCACTCTCTCTCCTCTACATCAATCAATTATTTTTTCTCTCTCCTCTCTCATTTTCAATCACTTTTTCTCTCACATACATTTACTCAATTACAACAAAATATCAAATCATTCCAAACTTCCAAACTCCAAAATTATTTTCAAAATATACAACCAAACAAATTACAAAAATTTCTAAACTCTCTTTTCAAAATATTTTTTGAAAACTTATCTCCTAAAGTCAAACCAAATAAGGTCTATGTATTCAGATCATTTTTTTATGAACCATTAATTTTTTGACCGTCTATTTTTTCCCAGACAAAAGTGATCCGAATATATAGTATCCGTTATCCAATCGACGTGATTTTTTTACAGGAATAACATACTCAATAAATTCTAAAATGTGAACTGTTTTGATTATCAAAAAGGGGTCTAAAAGTAAGCCCAATAGGCCGAACTAGATCGGATTATCCTAGGACTGGAGACAGTCCAGACCCTCTACTCTTACTATTACTATTTAATTCTGTCAAGCTTAGTATGAACAATTAAATTTTATTTATTATAAAATGTTTTTAAAAGGTTCATTCTTTTATAATGATATATCTTATTTTAATTTTACTTCACATTTAATATCAACAATTTCATAAAATATTTTTAATGTAAGTAAAATTTGTGGGGGCCGAATAATGGGGGTCGTAAATAGGCCGAGTATATGAACTTGGGGAACTGGGATGTATGTATAGTATTCGGCTTCATCCCACATCCAAATCATACCCTATTCAGTCAAATAACCGAATAGGGCAAGAGCCGAGTAAAAAGCAATTTGCTACAAAGGAAGTCGAATGACGAACAAAAAGTGGGCCTAATCCCGAGGCCCAAGAGAGAAAGGATATAAATAGAAGAATATTAGCCAGTAAGAGGTATGTGAGAACTATTGTGCTTAATTTAGAATACAAGTAAACCCTCTATTCGGCATATAGCCCAGCCAACCAAGGAGCCGAATAAAATAACTAGTACCCCAGCCAGTAGAATGGACTCCGAGTAGAGGTACATGTGATGGAACAAGGATGGGCCCAGCCCAAAGGCCCAAAGAAAATACTATAAATATGGGATCACCCATCAGAGAAAGGTATGTGAGAACTATTGTACTTAACTGAGAATACAAGTAAACTTGAGTGTAAAGACTGACTTGCCCGTCGGAGTGTTAATTCCGGCACCCCGACCGGAGTGTTTATTCCTTTTCAGGTGACTAGAAGAGGGTCACTAGCGTCTCCGAGGATCACTAGCGTCTCCCAGGATCAGAAGAGTATTTCCGAAACCATTTCTCCACAATTGGCGCCATCTGTGGGAATTCTCAAATATATCCATGGCAGGCGTAACAGAAGATCCTCCAATAGTCACTGATGAAACCATGCAAAGAGACGACCTCACTTCAACAAACATGCTTGGACTAGAGACTATCGCCGCAAGACGTGCCTTGAACTTCACCTCACCCTCGACTTCGGAACATGAGACAATGCAGGCGATCATGGAACAAGCAAAGCAAAATGAACAGAGGTTGGAGAACATGATCGCTGAGAACGAACGTCTTCGTGAAGATTTGGCCTTGGAAGTGGCGAACTCTAAACAAGCTGTACGCCTAAATCTAGAACGATCTCCGAAGACAGGTGGTCGACGACCTCGAGCCCGACAAGACAACACTGATAACGACTCTGACTTATTATCCCCGGAGCCCAGGAAGAAGGGCGACCTGAAACTACCAGTTCTTCTGAAGAAAGTCCCCGTATAAGGCACAAGTGAAGAAGGAACAGTTCGAACGAAGATCAACACAATCCCTTCGTACGACAGATTATAAAGGCAGTGCTACCCAAGAAATTCAAAGTACCGTCATTCACCTTGTACGACGGCAAATCAGACCCCACCGACCACATCCGCCACTACAAGCAAGCCATGACATTGCATGTAGACGACGAGGCCCTCATGTGCCGAATATTTCCCAACAGTTTGGGACCATTGGCTGTCAGGTGGTATTATAAACTGGAGCCGGCTTCGATCACAACCTTCCACCAATTACAGCAATCCTTCAGGGCCAGATTCATCACCAACGAGGTCTAGCCGAAACAAGCCGACTCTCTCTGGGCAATGCAAATCCTGCCAGGAGAAACACTAAGAGCATATTCGGCGCGATAGTGGGAATGCTTTAATCTTGTTGATGACGCTTGCAACGACTCCATGGCCATCACTGCCTTAAAAATGGGATTACATCCAAATAGTGCCCTCCACAGTTCCTTGACTAGAAGACCCCCCAAAATAGTCTGGGGGTTGATGAAAAAAGTAGAGGAATACTGCAAAGTGGAAGATGATGCCTTGCGGGTTAAAGCCGGACACATGGCTAACAAAACGGCCCCTCTTGAAATTGCTCAGCCAATAAGTTCCGTACCACCTCAGAGCCCTGAACCACGACAGCGGGCTAAACGAGACAAGAGACGGGATTCTCACCGATCAAGTGATCAATGCTCACACCGAGCAAATGAGCAACTGCAAGTTGATAGTAGGCGTACAAAGCGCGCTGACAAGAAACATACGGAGCTGTCAGAGCCAAACAGCTCGGTTATGTCCAAAATCCAACATCTTCCGTTCTTCAAATGACCATCCAAAATGGTGGGACCTCCTGACACGAGAAGACAGGACAGGCGGTGTGAATATCACAAAGATCACGGTCATGATACGGACAATTGCTATGCTTTGAAAGACCACCTTGAGGAATTGGTGCAAGATGGTCAGCTCCAGCAACATGTCTGAAAGAGTGCAACCAAAACAGTTGCCCTTCGGCAGGATTCACCTCCGCTCGGCGTCATTCATATGATATACAGCCTTCCAATGCCTCTTACCGTACATGCAATTCAGTCAGCCCCCCAGATGTAATGCACACCAACGAAACGGCCCCACGAAACTCCGATTATTATCTTCGACGATTCCGATCTTATCGGCATAACACTCCCCCACATTGATCCATTGGTCATTGAACTACACGTAAACCGATTTACCGTTGAATGTGTCCTCATAGACCAGGGGAGCACTTCGGAGGTTATGTATTACGAGACCTTCATCAAACTCGGCTTCAACAAATCAGACTTGTCTCCGGTTCCTTATCCATTATTCAGCTTCATCGCAAATCCAGAGTACCCGTTGGGGAAAATCACACTACTCGTTCGAGCGGGCTCTCACACAGTGGATGTGGAATTCTTGGTCGTCAAGTTCCTTTCGCCGTATAATCTCATCATGTGGCGAACTTGGTTGCATACTATTCAGGCCGTGCCAAGCACCTATCATCAGCTGCTACGCTTCCCGACCGAACACGGCATCAAGCAAATCCATGGTTCCCAACAATCCGTACAAGCATGTTATCCCTTTTCTGGAAAGACACCAACGAATAGAAACAGCCTCGACGGTATCGGGCGGCTCCCTAGTGAAAAGCCATGGAAGCCCTAGGTGATACCAGCAGCAGCTTGGCAAGTCGCATAATCAACGCGTTCAGCTGCGCCGCTACGCACCGGGAGAGTTGATCCTGAAGGTACTTCTGGATGACAAGAAACCGGTTGATGGAAAATTGGGTCCTAACTGAGACGGCCATTATAGGATAGATTCCACATCGGCTCAGAAATATGTCAGGAAGGAGTCTGCCACGGCCCTGGAACTCGACGCACTTGCGAAAATTCTGTCATTAAACCCGACTTCTAAGGAATGTTCCTAGTTCTAAATGATTCTCCATGTACACATTCCACTTTTGTAATGCAAAGATTCTTGTTAGAAAGTTATAATCCCACCCACTGCGAAATCTAGTTAAAAAGTGCTTCGACGCAAAAAAGCCTTTGGATTCGGAGCCCCATCGGCGCACAA